TTGTTTCGATTTGATAATCAATACATAACAAATATTGTTAATTTGTTGAGATTTTATAATTTCTTCCAGGTTCCTATCACGTTCCATTATGTTAAAATAGTTTATAAAAAGTTTTTGTGGCCAATTTTCTATTTGCCATATATTAACATAACAGAAATGAAACGAATGTGTATTGTTGAAATACTTTTAATGAATATTATCACGATTTATTTTGGTTTATAGTTAATTTTTTTTGTATTTTCAAAATTTGACAAAGAGTTTATTATGTTTTTTCTTTAAAATAACAATTAAAATTTATTGAATGTATTAAACAATAAATATAAATATAACTAAAAAGTTACAGAATATCTATTTCTGTTGCCAGTTTTTTTGTTATGAGCTAGTTTGAAATCTATGACTTGTTGTTTAGCTTGCTCATTAGTTCTAGTTTTTGTAATTAAAAACCATTTGATTTTTTGTTTGTTATTTTCTGACCATTGAAATCTCCAAGCATTTTCACTTTTGAGAAAATAAATTCCATTATGTCCTGAGATATTATTTCTTTTTAATTTACAATTCATTACATTTTTTCGTAGTGTTGTTTCTCGAAGATTGGATTCACGATTATCAGATCTATTTCTGTTAATATGATCGATTATTTTCCATCCTGGACAAATTAATCGATGAAGTTTTAATATTTTAGAATTATTATCTTTATCATTTGTTTTGATATAGAACGTATTTCCAACTTTATGATTATACCATGTATATTTTTTCATTATACCATAATTTTTGATATCGATCAGGAATGTAATTTCAGATTTTTGTGTTTCAACTTCAAAATAATCGATGTCATTTATAGAAACTGTTTGAATTCGATTGTAAAGTTTGTTTTTTATAATTATGTTTTCCTTGTTCACCAAAAGTCCAAAATGTCTTTATTGTAAAAGTTGGATGAATCTTTTTCCAAAGTGAATTTTGAGATTCATTATTCAAAAACAATTTTGTCGATTCAAACATTTTTACTTTTCGTCAATGTATTCTTTCTCCATAGGGTTTTGAAGAAATCTGTAAATATTTTATTTTTAAAATTATGGAATTATTAAATGTATTAAAATAAAATTAATCATTTATTTAAAATATTAAAATAAAAAACTACGTTGACTAAGATTTTTACAAAAGTAACTCAGTAGGAACCAAAAGTTTATCTTGTTAAGAAGGCTCCCCTTCGACTCGATAAACTTTTGTGCAAGCGGTCGCTTGACTTTAAAAAAAAAATCAAAATGTGTGTGTTAAAAATGTATGTTTGTTCGCCTGAAGAATCAATTTACATTGATTTATAATTATTTTTAAACAGATATAAATGAATAAAAATATATTTAAGCTTTATTGAGTT